AGCCCCCGGAACCCCCTTACGATCGTAAGCGACGGCACCAGGAGGATTCCGGTTCCGAGCCCAGCGACTACGAGGAGCAGAAGGAAGAAGAAGAAGCTCGAAAAGTCAAAAGCGGCATCCGCCAGCTTCGCCTCTTCAGCGCCGAGGAGTGCGCCAAGATCGAAGCTCGGATCGAGGACGTGGTGTCCCGGGCGGAGAAGGGGCTCTACAAGGAGCACACGGTCGATCGGGCGCCGCTACGGAACAAGTATTTTTTTGGGGAAGGCTACACCTACGGGTCTCAACTGCAGAGACGAGGCCCCGGCCAGGAGCGCCTATACCCGCGGGGGGAGGTGGACGCCATCCCCGAGTGGGTGCACGACCTGGTGATCAGGAAGCTGGTGGAGCACCGGGTGATTCCCGAGGGCTTTGTGAACAGTGCCGTCATCAACGACTACCAGCCGGGGGGCTGCATTGTCTCCCACGTGGACCCCATCCATATCTTCGAGAGGCCCATCGTCTCCGTCTCCTTCTTCAGCGACTCGGCGCTCTGCTTTGGGTGTAAATTCCAGTTCAAACCCATCAGGGTCTCGGAGCCCGTTCTCTTCTTGCCCGTGAAGAGAGGAAGCGTCACGGTGCTCAGGTAACTCGCCCGCCTCGCCGAGGCCTCCGCTAACGTGCCGGGGGCTCGGTTGTGTAACGCTGATCACGCGGATGCACACCCCGGCGGTGGCTCGGGCTTGATCTCGCCCGCCTGTGGGCCTGCGAGGTCTCACTGTGGCAGAAGGGGTGAAGGAAGGATCTTGGGGGCGAGGGGGGGCTCCTGCCGCCTTGGTGGGTGGGTGATTGATTTTTTTTTTTGGGAGGGGGTGCCCTCTCCGCAGGCCTCGAGGCCGCGCTCCCGCCGGGACTCGCCACTTGCGGAGCTGAGCTTTGCCTTAGTCCCCGTAAACGGTTAAAATAACACATCGGGACACAAAATGGATCCTCTGCCCGAGAGAGCGGAGCAGCAGCTGGTCGGGACGGGGCTCCTGGGTCTATTCTTAGCTCTCGCGGTGCCTCCCTGACCTGACCTTAAGCGGGGAGAGGAGGTGTGAATGGCCTCGGTCTTCCCAGTCTGTAAACTGGGAAGGCTAAACCCTTCCCTGCCCGATGCCGGTGGGGAGAGCGGAGCGCAGAGCCCCGTGGGACTGTCCCTTGGAAGCGACAAGGAACGACTTTTTCGTGCGTTCTTGCCAGCGGGGGAAGAGCTTTGGAGGTGAAATGACCTGCCCAAGGTCACACAGCCGGCCGGTAGCAAAGCTGGGATTGGCACTGGGAAACGCCTGATTCCTAATCCCCGCTGCCTCCCGGTGACAGACCACTTGGTCCATCAGACAGAACATTAGGGCGCGCGCAGGCAGGACCTGCCAGGTTTTAGGGAAGGCGGCTCGAAGCCCAACACCGGGACTACCTGCCTCGGGGAGCACTAGTCCCCTGTGTCCCTGAAGGTCAGAGTTCTCCCTGCCAGGAGCAAGGATCGCCCGGACCCTGGCAGCATTACCCGGAGCTACCAACAGTTTGAGATTTTATTTTTCGGACTGGTGAAGGTCCAGGCCGGTTCTCAGGGCTCCCAGGCCGTAACACAATCCCCCGCTTTGGCTTGTAAAGCGATCGCCGCAGGGTTCGGGAAGGAATTTCCCCCCCCTCACCCGCCACGTACAGGCGGCCTCGCACCGTTGACTGGTGCATCAATAATAAATGCCGAGATCTGGCGTAGCTTTTATCTCGGAAAAGCTGCACAAACATTAACTAATCCTCGCCGTACCCCCGGCGTTAGGTAACTTCTGCGGATTAGCGAGGGGATGAGGGAGGCTGCGGAGGGAAG